ATGGCCAAAGGAAGTGAGACACAGTTTCATGATTTTGCCTTCTAGTGACATGTCCTCTGTTATGTGCTCCAGTATTTACTTGTTAGTCACCTTTGCTGTCCAAGGAATATGCCGGAGCCTTCTCCAGAAATACAGCTCATACAATTCAAATTTCTTTCTGTCTTGCTTTTTTAAGGTCCAGTGCGGAGGTGGGTTTTAGCAGGTTCTGATCAGTTCTGGAGAACCGGTAGCGGAAATTTTGAGTAGTTCGGAGAACTGGTAGTAAAAATTCTGACTGGCCCCGCCTCCACCTATTCTCTGCCTCCCAAGTCCCAGCTGATCAGGAGGAAATGGAGATTTTGCAGTAACCTTCCCCTGGATTGGGGAGGGAATGGAGATTTTACAGTATCCTACCCCTGCCACGCCCAACAAGCCACACCACGCTCACCAAGTCACGCCCACAGAACTAGTAGTAAAATTTTTTGAAACCCATCACTGGTCCAGTGGTTATAACTTTCTTTCCCAGTTTCACAAAGCTCCTTTGGAATGCTTCAACTGTAATGCCATTTTTCGGTCACTTCTGTAAATTTCACTACTTTTCTAACCGCAGTCATTTCAATCCAGAAAAGGGAAATGAAAGTAAAATAGGGACTTCCCTTTGCTTTCTCTAAATAATTAAATATTTAGTCCCATTCAGCACATCATAGTTCTCTAGTCAGATGGTTTTTACAAAACTTTCCCTTAACTTTTATTTTCCAAAGCTGTCCATTCATTGTACCAATTAATCCAAATATAACTCTTTCCCTCAAAGTTACCATATATATTAATTGTTTACTTGTTTTAAAAACACTTTACAACGAGTAAATTCAAATTCGACTGTCTCCCTAGTTTATTTTAAACGTCTTTAATTTAAATTCTTGGCAAGCTTTTTGTCTTTAATTATTTTTTAATCCTTTAAATTGTTCCTGTGCACTAATCCTTAATGTGGGATGAAGAATCACCCACCAGCTGGGTTGATTGCTCTGCTGCATTGAAGATCTCTTTTAACTTGAAATAATTGCCTTCAAAATGTGTTTAAGAAAGCGGGGACTTTTGCAAACCCAATGTCCTTTTGGAGACACCGCCATGGCTGCCTCTTCCATGGTCCCTGATGCTCAGACTCACAAGAAGCAGAACTTCTTCAGATCTTGCAGGTCTCCGTGGGAAGATCAGCCTTTCAGAGCACATCTGGGTAATCTCATGCCCTCATTTTATCTGGAAAGGTGGTATTGATGCCGCCTTAATGCCAGAGCACCTGTCTTTGCTGCAGCAGCATCTCCACTTGTCAAATGGTTAACAGTTGTTAATAGATTAACAGAGTTGGAAGGGACCTTGTACGCAGTGGTGAAATCCAAATTTTTTTACTACTGGTTCTGTGGGTGTGGCTTGGTGGGTGTGGCAGGAGAAGGATACTGCAAAATCCCCATTCCCTCCCCACTCCTGGGAGAAGGATATTGCAAAATCTCCATTCCCACCCCACTCTGGGGCCAGCCAAAGGTGGTATTTGCCGCTTCTCTGAACTACTCAACATTTCTACTGCCAGTTCTCTAAACTGCTCATAATTTTGCTACCGGTTCTCCAGAACCTGTCAGAACCTGCTGGATTTCACCCCTGCTTGTGGGTCATCTAGTCCAACTCTTCACACAAGCAGGAGACCCTACACCATTTCTGACAGATGGCAGTTGTTGAGGTTTAGTTTAGTATCCTATCATTTCTCCAGAAAAACCAGAAAAAGGAAAGAAGGCAATTTCAAATTGGCCCAACCTGGAACTTAGACCAATATCTTCCAAAGCATAATTCTGTACTACCACACCCATTGCAATGTAAGCCATTTCAGGCAGTGATGCATTTTCATTCTAGATATGATTATTACTGGGGATTGCTGGATACATGTTCAAGAGATGGTAATGCTATTTCAGGTATGAAGATAAAAAAGAAACATAAGGGGTATGACACTAGAGAGAGGTTATTGTTGGGCAGTTTTTAGAGGGATCTTACAGTACTTGCCTGTGCTACTTCATGCCATTGGGTTCAACCTCTAATCCAACAAAAATAAATATCTACTCAACATTACCCTTCCTTTCCAACTACAGTGGTCCAATAGTGAAAAACTAATAGCACTTCCTTTGTTGTAAGTGACTAGTATGTGGATCCTCAAGCATTGTAGGTTTTTTTTGAAGGTAAGCAAGAACTTGAAGATCAGAACACTGATCACATCCCTCCACAAAACAAAAATAATAGTCTTGGGAATTAGAAATATAGAAATATGTGCTAAGGTCTTTTTCTCCTTTCTTCCAATCTTATCTCCAGTCCAAAGAAATAACTAAGATATTAGATAACTAATAGAGAGATAACTCTCTCTCTCCTGCTCCCTCTCTCTCCCTCTCTCCACCTCTCCCTCTCCTCTCCCTCTCTCACCCCACCACTCTCTCTCCTCCCTCTCTCCTCTCTTTCTCCTCTCTCTCCTCTCTCCCTCCCCCTCCCCTCTCTCCCCTCTCTCCCCATCTCCCTCTCACCCCCACTCTCTCTCCTCTCTCTCACCCCCACTCTCTCTCCCTCCTCTCTCCCTCTTTCTTTCCTCTCTCTCTCTCTCCCTCCCTCCCTCCCCCCTCTCCTCTTTCTCTTTCTCTCTCTCTCTCCTCTCTCCCCCCCTCTCCATGTATGTGTGATTCAGTGTTGACTCGTGGCCTTGCAATTTTCTTGGCAAGATTTTTGGAAGTGATTTGCCATAGCCTTCATCTAGGGTTGAGAGAGCGTGAACTGGCTTTTAACCTAAGATTTTGTCTCCCAGTTCCTAGCCTGCTACACCAAACTGATACTCTTGTCCTTAGGTCTCCCAGTGTTAAAATAAACTCTCTCCTCTTGTTTCAAGACTGTCCAAGTCTCGACATGCAAAGAATCCATTAGGGTTTATTAGCTTTTCCTTTGGCAGGAAGCAACATGACTCAGGTGCTTGAAACAGAGGCAGTAGAAGCAATGTTCATCTTAATAATCAGGACAGCAAATTTCATGCTATTCTGGTTTCCAGCCAACTCGAGGAAAAGTAGCTAGAACTTATCATTCAAAAGTGAGAAAAGGCCCACGGAGATAGGAATAAACAGAACCTTATAACCATTTTAAAATTAACCAATTTATTATAGCAGATCTACCTGAATATAATAGTCCATTTCACTTAAGAACGGTGATCCACAAAAGCTAATGTATCAATAAATCTTTACTTTAACCAGGATATTTGTTTTTGTCTGCAAAAAAAGATTTGGTTGCTGCAAAACAACGACCAAAGCCTCCACTGAACCTTGAAGAAACAACCATGCCTGCAGATTTCAGCTGAAGTCTTTGGTTCAGCACCTGGTATGGCATCATCCTCTTGCTATTGCTCCATGAAACAGGGTTTTGGGCAATGTCTGGCAGGACATCATAGAGAGCTGAAAAAAACACCCACCATTGCTTGAAACATCCTCTTCAGCATAGCTATTAAAGGGAGCAGTAACCTTATCTTTTGTTGCCTCGTTGTCCTATTGGCTGCTCTTCATTATGTGCTGCCTCATGAAGTTATAAAATATTTAAAAGCATAGAAAGGGCATTTGTCTTCCTGAGGCAATCAGTTCTTTCTCTCAAATACATTTATAGAGAGTTGCTGCATGCAGGTGGGCTGTCACTCAGCGTTAACAGCTGCCTTGCCCCTGTCAAGGTTCAAGGAGGTCAAAGTGCCCTTTACCTGGACCTTCCTTTCTGCTGTGAGGTTCAAAAGGATTAGCCATAGTTCTAGGTTAAAAAAAAAAAACCCTTTTAAAGTTTTTATCTGGGCAAGAAAGCTAGAATTCCTACTATGCTTCAGAAGTAGAGAATCTGTGATGCAGCTTTCTCGGCATTGTAAGCAAAGGGCATTGGGGGAACCATAACAAGATAGTAAACTGCTGCTTACATATTTTATTACATCATATGATTGTATTACATCATACATCATTTTTTATTACATCCTATGCTGTTATTGAGTCTTATACGGGGCATAATGACTTAGTGGTTAAGAAGCTGAGCTTATCAGCTGGAATGCTGACAGCCCAGGTTTGAGACCCAAGTGCCATGTGATGAGGTGAGCTCCTGTTCTCGCCCCAGCTCCTGCCCACCTAGTAGTTTGAAAGTATGAAAATGCAAATAGATAAATAGGTGCTACTTCAGTTTGAAGGTAACAGTGAACCTTGTTTCACTGCAAGCTCTGCACTGTGGCATGATGTCATGCTGGCCACATGATCGTGGAAATGGTTTTATCTCTCTTTCTCTCCCTCCCTCCCTCTCTTCCTCCCTCCCTCGTTCCTTCCCTCCCTCCCTCCCTCCCTCCTCTCTATTTTCCTTTAGCACATTGTTAGGGACCAGAAAGTATTTTCGTAGTATTTCTTAGCTTGTTCTATTTCTGTTATGTCTTTCTTGGAGATTCAAGTGGCTGGACTTTGACTCCATGTGCTTTTGATCTAATGACTGGTGGCTCTTGTCATATTGCAAAATCCCAATACAATATAATGCAAATATAGCAACCGACCTGTTTAGCAACTGACTTGTTTAGCACTACAGTTACAGTAATGATGAAGAAGTAACTTTATAACCAACATTTACAACCTTTTCAGAACTATAAGGCAAAGAAAGATGGAGTAAGACAATAAACTCAGTCATAGTTTTAGCAAACTCTTTGTTTAACAACCAAATTGCCGGTTCCAGATTGCTAAATGAAGACTACTTGTACAGATTGTTGTCAAATCATTTTGGTGAAAATATCTATCATGTTTCAATCCCCTCAGGAAGTGAATGTTTGTCTCATCAGACACTCTTCTTTCTTGAACCTAGAAGGTATTTTTGAAGTTCTCCATTTCAAGAGTGGACAGCTTGTGGTCTTTTAAATGATTTATATGTATCCCACCCTTATTATTTCTATAAGTAATACAAGGCGACAACACATACACACTTTCCTCCATCTAATTTTCCCACAGCAACAACTCTGTGAGGTGGATTGGGCTGAGAGAAAGCGACTGGCCCATAGACTCCTAACTGGCTTTCACGATTAAGGCAGGAATTGAACTCACAGTCTTCCACTTTCTCGCCTGTTGTCTTAACCATTAGACCAAACTGACTTCAAGAATTCGGGTGGACTATTTGTGTCAAATCACATTGCTTGAGAATGAAAAGAACTGGAATTGAAGAATAACTGGCAGCCGATCCTTACAATGCTTTACCAGATGGCCCAGTTGCCCAGCTCCAGTATAAAGACAGTGACTACATAGAGACTAATCAAAGTCTGGGATTTGTCCAAACTATTGAACATGATCCTGATTCAGCAGCTTCCTTCTCCATCTTATTTAGGAAAAAAAAAAAAGGAAAGATTCACAAGTAAGGCATTTGAAGGTTGGAAGCTAATCTTCCACATATGTATAATAGGTTTTGAAACACAACCTAATTTAATAGCAATAACAACATGTTCAGTAATCGAATTCTGGTAAAAGAATAACGAAACACACGTGATGCTATAAATGTCATATAAAGATATAATTCTAAACATCAAGAGATGTTCTTGTATTTATTGTATTTGATAGGATTTGCTGGCAGGAAAGTAGAAGCAAGCGTGCAGCTTCTAAATAGTTAATTGATTCTTAAATGTTTTGCTTTTAATGCATCTTTTCTGTGACCATGAATGTTCTTCTAAAATGGCTAACGTGATATGATGTTAGAAATATAATCTGCTAGACTATTTTTAGGGATGGACAAATCTGTCAATTTCAGTTTTGCTCAATTTCTCATTTATCCAAGTGTAAGCTTCTTTTGTCTTGTTTCTTCCTGGATCTGTGAATGTTTGCACAATGGTGTTAGCACAATGGTTTATGAATACTACAGTGTTTCTATCTCTCTCTCTCTCTCTCCCTCTCCCTCCTTCTCCTCTCTCTCTTTCTCTCATTCTCCATATATACACATACATATATAAATGTACATTTCCATTATATATAGCTTTACACACACTTTTGGCACAGTACACTATTGTGTGCACTTTTTCTTAAAATATACATTTTTATTTCATTTGCAAAGTTCTATTTCTTAATTCAAGAAAAGCTGGTATTGAAGGATATTTATTCCCCAAAGGATTTCAGAAATACAATTTAGATGCAAACTCTATTAATATTTTTCTTGTCTTTTTTAAAACATAGATTTCAGAGCTTCAATTCTTTTCCAAATGATACTTTTCTTTTCTTTTTTTTTTTCTTCTGCCTCCAGAGCATACAATACCCTATTTTGGGCAGTGCTTAGTTCATGACTGTCTACTCGCATCATGCAATCTGGGTGAAATGCTTGACTTTTTCCCTTCTGTATTCTGCATTTTCCCAACTAAACTGCTCTACATGGACAGATTTTGGTTTGCTGATCCAAAAGAAAAAAAAAAAAGTGACACAACGTTGGAAACACAAAAAGGAAAGGAACAATCACTGGATCACATTCCCTACCAATTGTATAGCTATTAGACAAACATAAAAATGGTAAGGTGAAAGAGTCCATCTTTATTTATAAAAAGACAAAAGGGAAAATTGGAAAAAACGGTGCAAGAACAACCATATCTATTTTCTTTTTATTTATTTTAAACCAGTGGTTCTCAACCTTCCTAATGCCGCGACCCTTTAATACAGTTCCTCATGTTGTGGTGACCCCCAACCAGGGGTGGGTTCTAATTTTTTTTTACTACCGGTTCTGTGGGTGTGGCTTATTTTATGGGCGTGGCTTGGAGGTCATGTGACTGGGTGGGCCTGGCTAGCTGGTCACGTGACCGGGTGGCCATGGCTATGTGTATAGGGACTACTCAGAGGGCTGAAAAAAGTCATTTCTGACAGGTCCTCGCACTTTTGACTGGTCCTCACACTTATGACCATCCTCACATTTATGCCTGTGCAGCATTCTTAACAACCATGTCACTAATTTCACAACTGCTTCTCTTCAACATGGTATAAGATAGGGCAAAAAAACGTAAAATGTGCGGACAGTCGTAAATTCGAGGACTGGTCAAAAGTGTGAGGACCAGTCAAAAATAACTTTTTCAGCCCTCTGAGTAGTCCATATGCATAAAAGGATACAGCAATAGAGAGGGATGAAGGAAGGGAAGGGAAATTAGAATAGGAGTGAAGGTAAGAGAGGGAGGAAGAGAGGAGGAGAAGGAGAAAGAGGAAGTAGGGAGAAGAAGAAGAGGGGGGAAGAGAAAGTAAGTAAGAAAGAAAAGACAGAAGTGGTAGGTTTGAGGAGAAAGATTGCTGTACAATAAAAAAGATGAAAGGGAAGAAAGCCAACCCCAAACAAATATAAAGATATTAAGATAAAGAATGAATTGTTAAACTTTAAAGAATAAAAGAGAACAAATAGCAATAAATAGCAATAATTAGAAACACACATACAAACATACAACGTATTTTCTTTGAACAGAGTATTTGGCCGGTCCACAAATTTAAACAGTTGTAGGAGGTTAGCACCCACCCCTTTCCTAGAAGAATGAAATATTTTGGGAAATATTAAAAAGGCAGAATATTATATTTCCCTGGATGAGAAATGGAGAAGCATATTTTACAGACAAAGCAGCTCCCACCTTCCTGCCCCCCACCCTTTGTTAATGGGCCAGAGGCAGAAAGTCAATCCTTTGTCAAAGGACATTTGCAACACAATAGCAACAGAAACTAACACAATGGGCCCCATCAAGCCATGTGATCCTGTCCAACATTAAACCATCTTTCCAAGCAGTCTCCATGTTTCCAGTGTCTTTTTTCCCACTTGGAGCAGAACCCAGAAGGATATTTCTTCCAACACAGTATTTAGTCATTTCAATTAAATTTACAATTTTTATATTTCCTTTTTACCATATTTATTCCTCATCTATTTTTTTAAAAAACCAATATTACCCTTCATCCTCATCTCTAATCTTAATCAAATTCAATTTTCCCCTTCTATTCTATATTATACCCCTTCGCATTGTCATCTATTTTTATATCCATCCTCACATTGGTTAATTATGTAATACAGTTATTTAATACAAATTCAACATTTTAATATAAATCAATTAGTTATATAACTATCTTTTTTGTATATTAATCAATATGAACATGAATATTTCAATTATTTCCATGCAATCCAATTTCTTACAAATCAATTAATTATATTTACCAATAATAATAAACGAAATAATTTCCCCCATATATTCCTCCAAACCACAACTTAACCATTTCTGCTTTCAACACAATATACAATTAATAGTATCTCAATTATTACAATTCCCTAGTTAAATAGAGCTTTTTTTCTTTTGTGTTTTAAAATCTTGAACCTCCTCTTGCCCTAAATTTCCCATTGTTTGCAGTTTTGTACCTACCTTTTTTGGTGAGGAAAAAGAAAAAGAAATCTCTCTGCCTCATTTTGTCACGTTGCAGCAGAGACCCTCCTTTCGCTTTCACTTTTCAGCATAGCTAGGGGGAAAAAAATTTGCTCCAGGAATTTACCTCTTTGCAGCTAGCTCTTTGAAGCCCCGCGGCAAGAATTTAAAGTTTTTTTCCCTCTAGCCATCAGCTGGGACTCCGGAGGCAGCAATAGATTGGGAGTGGGCGGGGTAAGCGAACGGCGACCGGGCGATCCAACAGAGGCAGAGGGTGAGGGTGAGTGAAGGGGTGGGGGGGCGAGAGAGGGCTTTGGCGACCCCTGTGAAATGGCCATTCGACCCCCAAAGGGGTCGCGACCCCCAGGTTGAGAACCGCTGTTTTAAACAGTCTCTCTCTGTGTGTGTGTGTGTGTGTTGAAATCCTACCAGTTCGTACCAGTTCAGGCAAACTGGTAGTGATAAAAGCTACCAGTTTGGGTGAATCGGTAGTAAAAAAAAATCTACTGGTTTGTCTGAACCGGTATTTCCGATGATCAACAGTACCGCGTGATTTATATTCACAAAAAGCAGGAAATCCTACTTTCTAGCAAATCTAAATCATGCGGTACAGCTGTTACCCTCCTTGCTGTTCTATTTATCTTGTTAAGTGTCCTTTTTCCATGCAAAGCACATGTTTATATATATATAAAGTGTTTTTCTATCGAGACACCTGGTCTCGAGACACCTGGTCTACCCCACATGTGGGAGCGTACTACTCCCTCCCACATGCTGGGGTAGACCAGTTGTCTCGATAGAAAAACACTTAATCTTTCCCCTGGCTCAAGCTGATGAAGGGAGGAGAACTTATACAACTGCCTAACATGCAGGCAGCCCAAGTTCGAATCCAAGTAAGGGTATGGCTAGCTGAGAGCTAAATAGCTTGAAATAGATCTATACTAGTCTCCCTTTATTTCTTTATCAGCGAAATATAAATTTGGTATATATATATATATATATATATATATATATATATATATATATATAATATATATATATAAATTGTAAAATTTGTGTTCAATATCATATTAATAAAATCAAACATTTAATTTTTATTTTTATTTTTATAAAAGATACCAATCTTGAAACCACATGCAGTTTTTGGCATTTTTCTTCCCATGATCACCATTTGACAGTCTCCATTTTAGAACCTGCAATATGTTTTCTAAATTCCAAATACACCCCCAAAAGGGTGTCTTAGAATAAAATTCTTCTTATACTGCGGCTTTTTTGTTTTAATGCCTGGATCTTTCGTCAAAAGGATCTTTGTCCTTTTAACAAAAAAGCTACTTCTATTGATTCAGGCTTCCTTCATGTTCACAATGGGGCTTAAAATAAGGGAAGCTTATTGTTGTTACTAAACAATTATAAGTCATAAATCCTATCTGATGCCAAGATGCAGACTTATTCGGGTCCAAATTCATAGCCCACAGGATTTTAAGTACTGCATGTACATTTATGTCAGACCTACACAGATTATGACCAATTATACAAATTCAGACCATGTACATTTACAATATGTATTACAAGAAGAGTGCACCATTGGAATAACCAGGCTAAGGACAAATTATCATGGTTGTCTCAAAGGTACTTTTTCAAAAGGCAACTGGACTATGTTTCTTTTTTCCTTGAGGAAGAAGATGTTTTGCTTCCCATCCAAGAAGCTTCATTAGTTCTGACTGGATGATGGGTGGGTGGGTGGGTGGTCAGAACTGATGAAGCCTTTTGGATGAGAAGAGTCTTCTTCCTCAAGGGAAAAATAACATAGTCCAATTGCCTTTTGAAAAAGCACCTTTGAGACAATCATGACCTGGATGACTGAGAATCTCCATAAACAAATTGTCATGGATAAACTCTATGTGCCAAACTCAAGGCCTGGGGGCTGGATCTGGACCATGGGGTGCTTAGATCTGGCCTGCGGGCTGAAACAG